CATCCCATATAGACCCAGTGGGGCAGAGGGGCTGGGGGACCGGGGGGTCTCTTCCATCTCACCCTGGTCCTGGGGTGCCCAACGTGGTCCTACACCGGCATCCAGTGTCACCCACCAAGCGCCAGGACCTGCCACCCCCCGTTGGCATCTGGTGTCCCCCCCCTCTGCTGGTGTCACCCATGGGGCACAGGGACACGCCACAAACCAGGACCCCGAAACACTTCCCCATGCCAGGCACCAGGACCCGCCATGCAGGAGGGGTGCACCCACCATCCTGCTGAACCCCAAACTTCATCGAGACCTTGGCGATGCTTTTGCAGGGCAGGGGGGCTGCGGGATGGTGACGGGGTGCTCTCGGCTTTCCAGAATCCCCGTGTCACCGGCCAAGGTGTGGGAACGGGTGATGGATACCTGGGGGGCTGCGGAGCCGGAGCAGACGGTGCTTTTTGGGGGTAGCGGGGAGGAGGACGCCTACAACCCCCCGGTGATGCAGAGTAAGTGTTGAGGATGGGGTGGGGTGTGGGGGGTGTCCTCATTGCGCTTCAGCTTTGGGAAAGGGATGGAGACCCCCCCACGGGCACCCGGATCCCGTGGTGTGTCCCCCAAACGGAATCCATGTCCTCGGTCTCTGTACCAAAGATGTGCCAAGAAGCTCAAAGTTACGGGGTGCACCAGCCCAGCCCCCTTGATTGTCCCACGGGAAGGGGGTCTCCATCCCCATTAGCCCCACCCCCCCGGGATTGACCCCCCTCTGCCCCCCTTCCGCTGTCCCAGGGACACCGAGCGACCCTGAGACAGACCCCCAGACAGCAGGCGATCCCGAGATCGTAGAGATGGATACGGCCGCCTTGTTGGGTCACCCTGAAGAGGGTTCACCGGGCGAACGGAGCCCGGCACGGGAAACCCTGCGTTGGACCGTGGTCCAGCAGATCGACTCTCCTGGCGCGGCAGGAGGTCGGCGCGGCAGTAAAACCGGAGCAGGAGCTGGCACCTTCTCCAACTTCAAGAGCATCATTGTGTTGCAGAAGAGTTATGAGTGCGGGGAATGCGGCAAGAGCTTCAGCTGCAGCTCCCACTTCAGCAAACACCGGCGGACCCACACCGGTGAGAAACCCTTCCTCTGCCTCCATTGCGGTAAGAGCTTCAACGTCAGCTCCAACCTCTACCGGCATCAACGGGCTCATGCTGCCGAACGGCCAGGTCCACCGGCTCCACCGGCACGTCCCCGTGGATTGCCGTATAAATGCGAGGAGTGCGGGAAGAGTTTTCGCCGTAACAAGGAGCTGGTGACCCACCAACGGTTGCACACCGGTCGGTTGCCCTTCCAATGCAGTCACTGCGGTAAGAGCTTCAGTTGGAGCTCCCATTTTGACCGTCACCAACGTGTCCATACTGGTGAGAAGCCCTACCAGTGCCCTGAATGCGGTAAGCGTTTTAGCCGTAGCTCTCACCTCTACCGGCACCAACGCACCCATGCCGGCGGTCGCTCTTACATCTGCACTTATTGCGGGCGTAGTTTTGGTAGCACCCTCCATTTTGACCGGCACCAACGTACCCACACCGGCCAACGACCCTACAAGTGCACCCTATGCCGGAAGAGTTTTGGTGATGGGCCGGCATTGGTCAAACACCAACGCCTTCATCTGGGTGATGGTCCTTTCCGTTGCGAAGAGTGTGGTAAAGCCTTCGGCGCCCGCGCCCAATATGCCCGGCATCGGCGTAGCCTCCACGGTGGCGGTGAGAAACCGTACCGTTGCGGTGATTGCGGGAAGAGTTTTTCCTGGAGCTCTCATTGGGAACGACATCAACGTATCCATACTGGCGAACGACCCTACCAATGCGGGGACTGTGGCAAACGTTTCGGCCGGACCTCCCATCTCTACCGGCATCAACGTACCCATGCTGGCGGGCAACCCCACATCTGTGCTGATTGCGGGAAGAGCTTCAACAGCACCCTACACTTCCATAAGCACCAACGGGCTCACGCCGGTCCCCGGCACGCCTGTCCCGATTGCGGCAAGGCGTTTGCTGATGGTTCAGCGTTGGCTAAGCACCGACGGGCACATGCCGGTGAGAAGCCTTTCCCTTGCCCACAGTGTGGACGGCGTTTCGGCGTCAGTTCTCATCTTCACCGTCATCTCCGTAGCCACGGCGAGGAAGAACCGCCGGAGGAGCCGCCGGATGAGCTTACGCCCTGTTAACCGGGGGACAGGGAGGGGGGGACAGAGGGTTGACCCCCCGGGTGGCTCCTCTCCCCCCACCACTGCCGTGGGGTGCCTCGGGTAGCCCCCATGTGTGATGGGTGCTTCCAAGCCGGTGATGTCCCCCGGTGGCACCAACCCCGGCCCCGAGGACGTAGTTTTTGTAGGGTAGAGTAGGAAGGTAGGGTAGATAGGGGAGGATGGAGATGGGGCTGGGGGCTGAGTGGGATTTGGGGGGGGGCCCTCCAGAAAATCAGACCTAATCCTGCTAACAGACATCAGGACATCCCAACTGTGCTCCTCCATGCGTAGTCCAGGAGAAACCACCTCCATGGGTGATGGGGAGATGGTGCCGAGCGGCTGGGGAGGTGCGGAGGGGAAGGAGATGGGGTTAGGGGTGCTGGAGATCCCACCGGCTCCTTGTCCAACTCAGAGAGACCCCAAAATATCTGTGGTGGCTTCATCCCTTGACCATCCCACCTTCCCCATGCTGCCAGCCTTGACCAACACCCAAAGCCTGAGCCCTCCCAGCTGCACTTGGGGCATGATGATGCCATCTACCAAATGACACCATTTGGGGCAAAATATCCCCATTTTGTGGCTTTGTTGTTGAGAAAAGCCTGGGTGTCCGTTCCCAGCAGCTCCCAGCCACGTGCCGCGGTTTGGCCGCCAGCAATGCTTCGTTGCGGACCCAGCGTTGAGTGGTTTATTTAATGTATTTATTGTATTTATTCAGCGGGAGCCCACCTGCGGTTGGAGGAACCCAACGTGTTGGGGTGAGCTGGAGGCTGTTGGGGACAGGAGCTGGGACAAGGGAAGGTTTGTCCCCAAGCCAGCGTGGGGATGCTCATGGCTGTTCTTGGGTTGATCAATCCCCCACCATGCAAAGGGGGCTCATGGTGGGAACCCATCAGTAATGGGGAGGAGGTAGCACTGCCCATGGCTGGAAAGAAACCCCCAGGCGATCACGGGGAGCGTTACCTGCAGGTATTTCCAAGATGAAAAGAGCTGAACCCTTGGAGTGAACCTCAGGGATGGGATCAGGACACAAATCCAGGGATTTCCTGGCATTTTTGAGGTCGCGGTCGTGCCGGCTGCCTGGTCTGTCTCTTCCCAAGATGAGCAGGAGCTGTGTTTGTATTGTGAATAAAAATAGACTAGTGCAAAACCCAGCAGGTGGCTTCTGCTTCTCCTTGGAGGAGCTGCGAATCCCAGCTCTTTCCGTGTGGAAAACCAGAGGTTTGGGGGTCATCTTGGGTGGGGTGTCCAAAAATAACCCCCCCATCCCGGGGAAACTCAACCAGCCTGGCAGCCTGCATCGGTTCATGGTCCATGGTTGAGTGGTGGTGATGATGAGTTGCCTGCCAGGAGGTGAAAGTTGGGGCTATGTGTGTCCCTGACCTGTGGTGTCCCTCCCAGAATGCCCCACTCGTTGCCCCTTCCCAGCAATGTCCCATGTCGATGCTGGCTGGGTTGTCTCAAATACACCCAACCCCAAACCCCTCAAACCCCTCTGCCTTCATTGGGTCCAGGAGGATCTCCAGGGAGGAAGACCGTCTGCCTTCATTGGGTCTAGAGACCTTCATTTGGTCAAGAGAGGATCTCCAAGGAGGGAGATTCTCTTCCCTCATTGGGTACTGGGTTGATCTCCAAGGAGGGAGATCTGCCTTCATTGGGTCCAGGGAGGTTCTCCAAGGAGGACGATCTGCCTTCACTGGGTCCAGAGAGGATTTGCCCTGAGGGCATCTCCCCACGCACCCTCAAGCTTTTAGGGGTCCCCGGGCAAGCAGCTGCCTCCTCTGCACGTGTGGCCAGGACAGAGGGCACCCTGCCCTCCAGTGCTGCCAGATCCTGCCTGCTGGTGTGGAGTTTCCTGGTCTGGAGTCTCCAGCATCTACCACTGTGGCTGAGCTTCAAAGGTGAGTCCATCTCCCGGTTTCCTTGGGACGTGGGCACCGGTTTCCTTGGGATGTAGGCATCTCCTTGGGCAACAAACAACTTGGGCATCTCCTTGGGCAACTCCTTGACCATCTCCTTGGGCATCTCCTTGGGCAACAAACAACTTGGGTATCTCCTTGGGCAACTCCTTGACCATCTCCTTGGGCATCTCCTTGGGCAACAAACAACTTGGGTATCTCCTTGGGCAACTCCTTGGGTATCTCCTTGGGCAACTCCTTGGGCATCTCCTTAGCCAACTCCTTTGGCATCTCCTTGGGCAACAAACAACTTGGGTATCTCCTTGGGCAACTCCTTGGGCATCTCCTTGGGCATCTCCTTGGGCAACAAACAACTTGGGTATCTCCTTGGGCAACTCCTTGGGCATCTCCTTAGCCAACTCCTTTGGCATCTCCTTGGGCAACTCCTTGAGCATCTTCTTGGGTAACAAGTTGGGCATCTTTGGGGGCATCTCCTTGGCAAGGGGGCCACAGCGTTAGCCCCCAGGGGTCTATCTGCCCCCACCTCTGAAGGCTGATGGATTTGAGGCTCCGGACCCCCATGTTTGACCCCCCCCCCCCAGAGGGTCCCTAGAGGCATCCACAGCGAGATGGGATGGAGTACGGGTGCAGGGGGCAGCGAAGCGAGCTCCCCCCCATCTAACAGCATCCTTCGGTGGGGATTCCCCAGTGTCTAATATAGGGGTGAGCTCACATGGCGGGTGGGGGGGGACACACACTTCGGT